CCCAAGGTTTCCTCCTCAGGCAGCCTTTTACTTCTCTTCCTTGGTTTCCAGCTAGTTCTCCCCTTTGCTTGTTTCTCTAGTACTTTTCAAACTTTGGCTGCATCTCAGAATGAGCTGAGCAGAAGGGTGAAATACAGACACTTATCAGAATCTAGGCACTTGCGATGCATTTGGCAACTTTTTTGAGATAGGGTCCTGCACTCTGATCCAGGCTGGCCTGGGTGACTTTCTACAGTTTTAGGAAGGAGTGCTTGAAGGCAGCTTTTCAAATGGCTAGTGTGGAACCCTAATTTCCTAGGTGGGGCTGAGGCAAGAGATTGTGAACCTGACACACTACAGATGCCAGTTACATTTGTTTTGTTTTGTTTTGTTTTGTTTTGAGACAGGGTCTCTCTATGTAGTCCAGGCTGTTCTGGAACTTTCTGTGTAGCTAGGCTGGCTTCAAACTCACAGAGATCTGCCCCTGCATCCCAAATGCTGGGATTAAAGGTGTGTCCTCCCATGCTAGGTACTAACTCTATAGTAAAGGCTGGCTTCAGGTCTTCCCAGATGTGAGATTACAGGTGTGTACATCACACCTTGTGAGATTACAGGTGTGTACACCACAGCATGTGAATCTGTGAATTGAGCATAATCTTATTTGCATTTACAGAAGCGCATGTGCCCTTAGTCATTCGTAGCAGCATTGCCTGACTCATCTCCCTCTCTGCTTCCTACCCCTCCCTCTTTTGAGAAAAGGCTGGCCTCCAAAAGAGCTGCAGCAGTCTTCCTTCCTATCCAGCCTTCCATGTGCTAGGGTTGTCAGCAAGCCGACACACTCAGCACTCACTCTTTTCTTTGAGAACAAAACAAAAGTGAATATCTCAAAGTATAAGTAAGTCAGTCATCTTTTTCCCGATCCCCAGTTCTTCCCTGAAGTAACTCTGTTTAAAAGATGCCCCTGACCTCCCTTTGTTCCCGTGCAGCTCTGTCCATTGTTCCGTAGCAAAGGCTGTTTCCTCCCTTCCACATTCTAAGGTGAAGAGTATTCCATGGTGAAGCAGCGTGAGGCCCTGGGTTCTGTCCCCAGTACCAACAAAGGGAAAGAAGATGTTATTTTTTATCCTTTTTTTTTTTTCTTGTGGTGCTGCAGTTTGCATCTGGGGCCTTTTGCCAGGCACATGAGCCACCACTGAGCATCATTTCCAGCTAGCTGGTTTCTTTCAGCACGTTGACGGATGTCGATGCTTCATAATTGACTGAACTATTGATAAATAGTGAAACTAAAAAAAAAATACAAATCATAAATTCTGTTGAATGAAGTGTTTTGTGCTCAGTTGGGTGTGGGATTATCCACCTGTGGGACAGATTCAAGAGGCAAAGAGTTTCATGATTTTTGCCATGTTGCCGCCTTTGAAAAAAATTGAACCTAGCCGCAGTGGTGGCACACACCTTTAATCCCAGTGCTCAGGAGGCGGAGGCAGGTGGGTCTCTGAGTTCCAGGATTGCCTGGGCTACATCAAGAGACACCCTGTCTCAATCCCTATGAGCGCCTTTAGTGTTAAGGCTGGGAGGTTTGATACGTGTATAAGCGTAATTTGTGCTTCTAGCTAGACCTCAGGGAGTCTTGAGGCTTTCTTGGTTTACTTCTAAAGCCAACAGAGTATTTGTTACTTAGGCAATTAAACTACAAATCTACTGCCTCAGTTACCCTGTATTCCAAAGACTCTGAGGGACAAAATAAGGGAATTTGTTTACGGTTTTGGCCATGGAAGAGGATAAAGAATCTAATATGCTTCCCACAGTGCCCTATTCAGAATCTATGGAAAGCTGGGAGACAAAAGCGGGCGTAATGTAAATTGAACTGTGGTTTGGGATGATCTGTTTTTTCCTGGGTGGGGGAGGGGACTGGGTCCCACACCGTCTCTGAAGGGTTTATTTAAATCTCTTCTGGGTAAAATAGGGTTTTACAAGTCTCCATTTTGAAAGAGAAAAGAACATTTTGTGAGAAGGAAGATCCCGCCCCCATGCTCTTGCTGGTAGAGTTCTTTGTCCCTAGGTCCACTCCTTTAGTAGGTGGAGAGTTGAGGCTCTTGTTATCTTGTGGCGGATTCCTGCTTCCTAGGAATTTTGCAAGTGAAAAAAGTTAATTGTCTGAGTCAGTCTTTCTAGAATCCTTTCTCTTGCACTGCCCTTCCGATTGATGAGTGCTATAGACTAGACTTGAGCTTCAGGGACTTGAAGGGAACATTTTTAATTTCCTATCTAGATATATCTACCTGTAGTGTAAATCATATGGGAGAGTTCCCACCACGTGAGTCTTGGGGCGCACACTGTGCTTCTCAGACTTGGCAGCCTGTCCCCAGCTTCACAGTTAGGGACTCCATAGCTTCTTCCGTTCTTAGTTTTTGAGTTTTTTTTTATGTGTATGAATGTTTATGTATGTGCACCATGCATGTGCCTGGTGCACACAGAGTCCCGAAGAGGGTGTAGGAGCCCCTGGAACTGGGGATACAGATGGTTGTGAGTCACCATGTGGTTGCTAGGAATTGAACCCAGGTCCTCTGGAAGAGCAGCCATTGTTGTTAACTGCTGAGCCATCTCTCCAGTCCCTGAGGGGACTTTCTAACAGACATGTTCAGTATGCAGCTGAGGAGCAGAGGAACTTGCTCCAGACGTCAGTCTTTTGATGTGCTAACATCCGAGGACACAGGTAAGTCCTTGGGCACATGCTGAAGATACAATAGACTAACTCGCCCTGATCTTACTACTTGGTGGTTCTGAACTGTGGCATCATTGACACTTGGATTTCTGTCCTCCGACTTGTCATCTTCGCCTGCTGTGTTGGGATGGAGGAACTGCCTTCTTACTGTGTGCGTCCTGCAGCCTTGTCTGGCCAACAGTGACCAGATTTTCTTTCACAGAAAGTAATGGCTCTGTTCTTATCTGAAAAAATCTGTTCTCCAGATACTTGGACGTTGGGGTTACAATGCATACATTGAGGGTCTTTTCTGTTTGTATTCTTTGGTGCTTCCTTTTCTCTAGTACCATGTACCACTTTGGTTTGCAGGTAGAAACCCAGGGAAGGTGCTGGGGAGCAGTTACAAGCAACTCACTGTCATGGTGAATAAAACTTAGTTGTACAAGAATCAATTTAATCGATCTTATTAATGTTACTTTTGAAAATTAGAAACTTACCACTCCACAGACACCAGAAATTAAGTGTAATAGAAACAGTTTAGAAATAACTTGTTCCTTTGTTTGTTTGTTTGTTTGTTTGTTTGTTTTTGAGACAGGATTTCTCTGTGTAATAGTCCTGGCTGTCCTGGAACTCACTTTGTAGACCAGGCTGATCTTGAATTTACTGAGATCCCCCTGCCTCTGCCTCCCAAGTGCTGGGATTAAAAGTGTGGGCCACCACTGCCCTGCTAGTTACTATTCCATGGTCTGTCTGTGCATGTGTGTAGATTCATGGATGAGGGATGGATGGGTGGATGGGTGGGTGGATGGGTGGGTGGGTGGATGCAATGTGTGGTTTGTGTGCACTTAATTGGTTGGTTAAAAATTACAGCCCTTTGTTGTTTTCCCAGCCAAGACCCCTTTTCCTCTTCAGTTCTGGAACTTTCTGTTCTTTTGCCTCCTTTCCCCGCCTGTCCTGAGCCTGCACTTCACTAGCTCCTTGCAAACAGTACTTCTGTCCAAAGGGGGCACACTGGGAATTTTTTGTTGGTTGTGAGGTGTCTAGCTGATTCAATATGAGATCTGCTGCCCCACCTACCTAGTGCTGGTCACTTTATATGAAGGTAGTTAATTTTTTATTTTGTCAAATTTTTACCAACACATTAAAAAAGACCAGTTACCTATAGTTAATTCTGGTCACTTTATATGAAGGAGGCTATTTTTTTTTCATTTATATTTTGTCAAATTGTTACCAAAGCATTTATAAAAAAAAAAACAGTTGCCTATAGTTAGGTAATTGACTATACTCTTTTTTTTCTTTTACTTCTGGTTTAGAATTGAATAGGAAGCCAGGAGTGGTGGTGCACACCTTTAGTACCAGTTCCAGTACAGCCAGAGGTACACAGAGAAACCTTGTCTTGAAAAAAAAAAAAAAAAAAAAAAAAAAACAAAAAAAGTAGGGCTGCAGAGATGGCTTAGCAGTTAAGAACACTGACTGTTCTTCCAGAGGACCTGGGATCAATTCCTAGCAGCCACATGATCACTCACAACTGTCTGTAAACTCCAGTTCCAGGTGATCTGACATCTTCATAAAGCATACAATTAGGCAATACACCAATTTACATGAAAATTAAATTATTAAAGAAAAGAATTTTAAAAAAGCAAAAAAGTAGATGGATAGGAAGATAAGAGAATCGAGTGGAAAGCTTTGGATTTAGATTTTTTTGTAGCCTTAACAACCAGAACTAAATCATTGTATTAGGTATAATGACTTACACTTACAATAATTCCAGTCATAAATGGACTATAGCTCCAGGCTAGCCTGGGCTACAGAATAGTGGGACTGTCATAAAAATTAAAGAATTAAGTCATTGAGCTTTATTACTATTATTATGGTCATTGTTGTTATTGAAATTGTCTCACTATTTAGACCAGGCTGTACTGGAACTCATAGAGCTTCACCTTCCTCTGCCTCCTGAGTACTGGGATTAAAGGCAGCATGTACCCTCACACCGGGCTGGTGTTGTGTTTCCTATTTTAATAATTCTGGGCATGAGCTGGATGGTGGTGGCACCTGCCTTTAATCCCAGTGCTTGGGAGGCAGAGGTTTATGAATCTCTGAGTTCTAGGACAGTCAGCACTGTTACACAAAGAAAAAACAAAACCAAAAAAAATTTCTGGGGCTGAGCCCAAGGCTGAGACATGTTAAGTGCCCTACCACTGAGTTATACCTGTGATCTTGGCATTAGTTTAACTTTGAGTGTTGTAGAAAACCTGGCTGGTATGTTTTTAGGAGCAAGGTGCCATTTTAGCCTGTAATGCTGTCATGTCCTTATTTACAGGTAGGCGAAAACCAAGAGTACACCGGCCTCGCTCTCCAATATTAGAAGAAAAGGACATCCCACCCCTGGAATTTCCCAAGTCCTCTGAGGATTTAATGGTGCCTAACGAGCATATAATGAATGTCATTGCCATTTATGAGGTCGTGCGGAACTTTGGCAATGTTTTACGGTTGTCCCCTTTTTGCTTTGAGGACTTCTGTGCAGCTCTGGTGAGCCAAGAGCAGTGCACGCTCATGGCAGAGATGCACGTGGCCCTCCTGAAAGCGGTTCTGCGTGAAGAGGACACGTCTAACACCACCTTTGGCCCCGCGGATCTGAAAGACAGTGTGAACTCCACCCTGTACTTCATTGACGGCATGACGTGGCCGGAGGTCCTTCGCGTCTACTGTGAGAGTGATAAGGAATACCATCATGTTCTTCCTTACCAGGAGGCAGAGGACTATCCGTATGGACCAGTGGAGAACAAAATCAAAGTTCTGCAATTTCTGGTTGATCAGTTCCTTACGACCAATATTGCCCGTGAGGAGCTGATGTCTGAAGGGGTGATCCAGTACGATGACCACTGTAGGGTCTGCCACAAACTGGGAGATTTGCTTTGCTGTGAGACATGCTCAGCTGTGTACCATTTAGAATGTGTGAAGCCACCTCTGGAAGAGGTGCCAGAGGACGAGTGGCAGTGTGAAGTCTGTGTAGCACACAAGGTGCCTGGTGTGACTGACTGTGTTGCTGAAGTCCAAAAGAATAAACCATATGTTCGACATGAACCTATTGGGTATGACAGAAGCCGGAGGAAATACTGGTTCTTAAACCGAAGGCTCATAATGTAAGTAAATCTCGCCATAATTTTCCTACTTCACGTGATTGATATGACAGAGTTGTTGATGCACAAAACTTGTAACTTAATGAATTGTAGTTTAAGACTTTTGAGCTGGAAGGAGTATAGGCATTCACGTGATATATTAAGAATTGGGCAAAAAAAATAAAAATAAAAAAGAATTGGGCATGGAGATGAGTTCATGAGCAATGCAAACCGCATACCATTCATTTCTGCTCGCAGAGAAAGAAACAGTTCCGCAGCCCACTAAAAGCCTCACACCTTCCTTGGAGTTAGGCTGCAGCCTCCTCTTTAGTTTTACCACAGGGCAGTCACATGGAGCAGCTGGAGAAAACGTGCCCAAGCTGGGCACTCATCGGTTGCAGTCCCCCAGGAGATACCAACACATGGAGGGTCATAGTCCAGTCTTGGGATTTCAAGAAACAATTTGGAGTTAGGCCTGTGGGACAGGAGGATGACAAGTTCAAGGCTAGCCTGGGCAATTTAGCAAGACTGTCTTGAAATAAAAGTAAGCAGAGGCTGAGGATGTAGCTCACTGTAGGGTGTTTGCCCAGCACATGTGAGGCCCCCGTGTTTAGTCCAGGACCACAGAAGTGAACAGTGCAAAAGAAGCTTCCAGCATCATGGGGCAAGTAGGGTCATGGAACACTGTGTGTAGCCTGGTCAGAAGGCCAGGCCGTATTGAATTCTAATCTCTGCATATCGAATATCCGCAGAAATCTGGTAGAGGGCATGGAACACTTGGTATTTTGAGCTTTTATAGTTTTGAGGCTTTCTTCCAGTTCTGAGAATTAGGTAAAGAGAAAACTGATGAGCTGAATTTCAGGGTGCTGTTTGAGGGAGAGTGGTGCTCTCTGAGACTTGACACTTGACTTATTGTATAATTTATTGATTTTCTTTGCTGGAAGCCTGTGGAATTTTCTCCATATCTGGGTTGTGTAGGTGTACAGTGATAGGCACTTGTCTGGGTCTGTTGTCACCGTTGAGCATTTGGTTGGAATTCATCCTGGTGGTAGGGTCCTGTGGTACTTAGTGACAGTGTCTGATGGCCTCCCTCTCCTGAGCCCTGCTGGACTTGTTCTATGATGTCACTTTATTGAACATGGGGCTATATTTGTCTTTGATTTTTTTCTTGTCCTTCCTCCCCACTTTTCCTCTTTGGTGTGTGTGTGTGTGTGTGTGTGTGTGTGTGTGTGTGTGTTTGTGTCTGGTGTTTTATTCGGACAGTCTATCATGTAGTTAGTCCAGGCTGGCCTGGAACTTCCTGTGTAGAACATGCTGGCCTCAGATTCACAGAGATCCAATTGCATCTGCCTCCCTTAGATTTTTTTTTTAATATTGATCTTTAAATCCTGTGATTTACTTTTTCTTAGCTGCTATCATGTTTTTTTTTTTTTAGTTTATGTGTATGTTTTGCCTGTACTACCATATGCTTGTAGTGCCTGCAGAGGCCAGAAGAGGGTGCTTCTGTAACTGGAATTACAGAAGGTATAAGTCACCTTGTGGGTGTTAGGAACCAGTCCTGGGTCCTCTTCAAGAACAACCAGTGCTTTTAATGGCAGAGCCCTCTCTCTAGTTCCCATACTTTCACTTTCATCTATCTATCTATCTATCTATCTATCTATCTATCTATCTATCTATCTTCTTCTTATCTATCTTTCATCCATCCATCATCCACACTTCCATCTATGTTTTTAAAGTGTTCGTTTGCATTATGTGTGTGCTTAGTGCCCACAGAGGCCACAAGAGGGTGCTGGATTCCCTCAAACTGGACTTAAGTTGTAAATTGTCCTGTGGTGCTGGGAATTGAACCTAGGCCCTAGGCAAGAAGAGTACATCACCATCGCCCAATAAAAAAGGACAGGTGTGGTGGTGAGGCAGTGGCAGGCAGATCTCTGTGAATTAAAGGCATCTTTAAAAAGCAAAACAAAATAAAACTACAGCCAGGCAGTGGTGGCCACACCTTTAGTCCCAGCACTTGGGAGGCAGAAGCAGGTGGATCTCTGTAAGTTCAAGGTCAGCCTGGTTACAGAGCGAGTTCCAGGACAGCCAGAGAGGCCCTGTCTGGAAAACAAAACAAAACAAGGCTGGAAAGATGGCTCGGTGGTTAAGAGCACTGACTGTTCTTTCATAGAACCTCAGTTCGATTCCCAGTACCCACATGGCAGCTAACAACAGTCTGTAACGCCAAGATCTGACACACCCTCACACAGACATACATGCAGACTAAATGCCAATGTATATAAAATAAGAATAAATAAATTATTTAACAAAACAAAACAAAACAGAGGGCTGGAGAGATGGCTCAGAGGTTAAGAGCACTGGTTCCAGAGGTCCTGAGTTCAATTCCCAGCAACCACATGGTGGCTCACAACCATCTGTAATGAGATCTGGTGCCCTCTTCTGGTGTGCAGATATACATGGAAGCAGAATGTTGTATACATAATAAATAAATAAAATCTTTAAAAAAAACCCAAACAAACAAAAAGTCCCCCAAATCCTCAAAAAACAGTATATGCTCTTAATTGCTGGACACCTCTCCAGCCTCTTATTTTTTTTATTTTTAAGAGCTCTTTTGTTTCTATTTGTAAAAATAACAATCTTGAATCTTTTCTTTAAAAAAAAATGACAAAATCCTAATTTCATTTTATGGATATAGGGTTTTGCCTTTCTGAAGATATTATTTTAATATTTTATTTTGTTACTTGAGTTGGGGTCTCCATAGCATAGGCTGTCCTTAAATTCACACCAATCTTCCTTCTTTAGCTTCTCAAGTGTTGGGAGGTGTTTGTTTTCTGAGCTGGTCTAGTAAGGTCTAGGCTGGCTCAGCCTTCAGAGTGCTGGGATTTCAGGTGTGTGCTGCCTTGCCCAGGTTCTGAGTAGACGGATAACCACTTCCTACACCCACCCCCCCCACCCCCCCACCCACTGTGTTCCATGATTTAACTTCTAAACTGCTTCTGCCCTTGTTTGTTTTGGTCTTTTTCCTCTGATGTCTTAGGTTTTTTGTTTGTTTGTTTATTTTGGGGGTTTGGTTTTTCGAGGCAAGGTTTCTCTGTAGCTTTGGAGGGTGTCCTAGAACTCAGCTCTGTAGACCAGGCTGGTCTCAAACTCACAGAGATCCATCCTCCTGCCTCTGCCTCCTGAGTGCTGGGATTAAAGGTGTGTGCTGCCAACACCAGGCTGTTGTCTTAGTTGCTGGCTAATACTGGAACTACCAGCTGATTGGAAGCTCTAAGCATGTGGGTGGCCATATTGATTTCAAGCTTGATCATGGGATGACAGTCACAGTGTTACGAAGTCCTTGCTGTCTGTATCCTTCCTTAGCTTAGTCTACCGCAGGCCTTTTCTGTTGTCCTGCTTAAAGCACACTGGCACTTAGAAGCAGGCTACCTGTACTGTGCCTACAGCATTTCTTGTGTCACACCAAGCCTGGAGGCTTTGGTACAGAGAACTTCAGCTCTGCTGTATTCTCTAGAGATGAGACCTTTGGTGGCTTGAAGAGGGCAGGTGGTCTTTAGGAGTATGCTTAAACAGCCTACTGCCAGTTGTGTTTCAGCATTGCCCCAGCCACAGCCACGGCCATGCCTGGTGTCACACTTGTGTCTTTTCAGAGTGTGGATCCTCAGCAGCGGAGCTTGGGACTGGGCTTTCTTGGCTTTTCACAGTGTCAGTCTTTTCCCAATCCTGAGTTTGTCTTTTTAAAAAGCTTCTTTTTGGTTGTTTTGTTATGTTTTGAAACAAGCTATTTGCTGTTTGGGGCAGGCTGGCTGGAAGTTGAGACCCTCTGCCTCAGCCTCATGTATGGTGGGGTTTAGGAGCTGACATGCCAAGTGTTCTTTAGCAATTTTTTTTTTTATAAATTCTTTTGACATTTATTTATGTGTGTGGAGGACAAGCGGCATGTATGCCCCACAGTGCCTGTGTGGAGGTTAAAGAGCATCTTCTGAACTAAGGTTGTCAGAGTTGATGACAAGCTCCTTTACCCACTGAGCCTCACACCAGCCCCTTTCTTGGCCTTTTAGAGGCTGGTTTTCACGGCCTCTGTCTTTCCTTGAGTTACTAGTTCTGTATGGATACCAAAGGTGTCGGTGCATGTGCTAGTTACAAAGGCCAATAATCAGTTGTCTAGGTCTTCCTTAGTTTTAGAAACCTGTGAAAAATAGCTCATTACTTAGATAAATACAGTCCAAAGCCACATTTATTGAGCACCCAACACATTGGGTGTCTTGAGCATTTTATATACAGTGCACACCTTTAACCCCAGCAATCGGGAGACAGAGGCAGGCGGATCTCTGTGAGTTCCAGGCCAGCCTGGTCTCCAGAGCGAGTGCCAGGATAGGCTCCAAAGCTACACAGAGAAACCCTGTCTCGAAAAAAGAATCTTTACAATAATGCCTTAATATATGTCAAACCCTGCCTGTGATTACAGCTGGTGAGACTAAAGCTGAGGGAGGTTAAGTAACTTGTTCCCAATACTATGTAGCTGTTAGCAGGTGGGACCTGAGGTTGTTTATAACAATGTTTCTAGGGCTGGAGAGATGACTCCAAGGTTAAGAGCACTGACTACTCTTCCAGAGGACTGAGTTCAAGTCTCAGCACCCACATGATGGCTCACAATGATCTATAATGAGATCTGGTGTCATTTTCTGCTGTGCAGGCATACAAGGAGGCAGAATGCTGCATACACAATAAATAAATAAATAAATCTTTTTTGTTTTTCAAGACAGGTTTCTCTGTACTGTTTTGGAGCGTGTCCTGGAATCGCTCTGTAGACCAGGCTGGGCTCGAACTATAAAAAAGTAAATCTTCAAAAAAGTTATGTTCTTAATATTGGTTAGAATATACCCATGTTGGCCACAGCTACCCATAACTACAGCTTCCGGGGGAGCTGATTCCTCTTCTCTCTCTCTCTCTCTCTCTCTCTCTCTCTTCTCTCTCTCTCTCTCTCTCTCTCTCTCACACACACACACACACGCATACAGAAT